CCCCCCAGAGCCGCCAAGCAGGCTATCCTATTCTTTAAGGTGGGCTGCCTACTTTTGAACGTTCGATTTGAGCCCACGATGTGCGCGCGCTAAAAAACCGCTAAAAAATCTACAAGATTTTATTGAAGAATCATACGCGTACATATAGAAGAATATCATACAGGGCAAAACCCTCAGATTTTGCACGGGACAAGATTCCAGATTTGGAATCAGCATTAAATTTCAATTCGGAAAATCGAAGTTTAAAAAAAGTTTTTAAAAAGCGTTTTCCAAAAGCAGGCAGTCACCTTAAAAGGAATATGCTTGGAATAAAGGTGGAATAAAGCAATTCACCGGAGCTATGTGTTCCCGTTTGGGGATGAGATAACTGAAACAGAGAAAACACGGCCATAGATGATATAGCAACGTTTTTCTCAAATAGCTTTTGATCGATGTCTATTTTGTATTATTTAAAACGATTAAAACAATTACTCTTATAATGATGGAGTTCTGCAAAGTCTCGCTGAACTGATGTTGGGTACTGACTAAGTACCTCATTAGTAAAAACTAAAGCAAGTTTTGACAAGATTGAATGCACGAGTATTCTGAATGATTGGATAAGTATACGGGTGGACGGGGCTTCAGCTATTGCTTAACAAGCAAGTGAAGGGAGAAACGTTGTTTATCGGACCATTGTTATCTCCTCACGCTATCCTCAAATGTTTTGAAAAGTCAAGAATTCTGCGCAGGTGGTCTATCGTTCGTGCAGCTGTCACGAGAAGGAAATCTAACCTTTTCTTTTTAATTATATTGTCTAAGTGTTTCAGCATCCATCAGTGCCTGCATACTCAAAAGATAATACTTCCTACAGCCTGACCGACACGTATCACCAATGTTAACCMGAGTTAAATGTTCTGGAAAACATAGAGCAGTTCCTCCTATCAGATATAGTCATTTGCGAGCAATAAAAACTATTTTTTTCTTGTGGGTTGGGTTTGAAGTCCTTTCGTTCTTTTTCTTCTTCTTCTTTTTTTGCTAAGCATACTCTGCTGAATGGACTATTATTTGAGAAATTTAATCAGTAGTGGAACTATCTATTTTTTTAATTAAGCTCTTGTCAAATTGCCTAGTTATGAATCGGTAAATCGACTCCATTATTATAACAAGGCTTTGTCTAATTTCCCCCAGGACGACCCATAATGCCTTGTGGTTCAAGATGGCCGCCRCATCGTGGAAGAAGTCCAATTGGGCTTTGTCCGCTTAAGTCTATCTGAGGGACACCGTAAATTAATCTTATGTGGTAACGGTGTTACCCTCACTAATAACGTTAATATCCCGGATTATAACCCAACGATGAATTTTCGCGCTGTAATTGATTCAGACGAAACAAGATTCCGAAATGATATCCGTCCAGTAAAAATTAAAATTAAAAAAAGAGGGTTTTACAATGAAAGGAGTGAGAGTTGCCAAGGACCGTGAGACATGAAGGTCTTGGTATTTTTCATTAGGTTTTACTTGACAGATCAAACTTAATGTTCATTATTTTGTTGAATTTGAAATTTATAGTCGTCCTCGTCGGAATCCATATCCCTGCTTCGTCCCTTTTTGAAAGTCTAGTACATTTAAAGCATCTTATTTCATGCATTATAGTGAATCAGTCTCTCCTAGTTTTATTTGCATATGATTACTAGATCGCGAGTGCAAGTGTCAAAGAGAATAACATATTTATTTATTCATTTTGTTATATTTTATCTAATGTGCAGCGTCCTCAAGGGAAGAACCCCGTTCGCGCTCTCCCTCTTGGGTATAGTCTTTCACATTTATTTTGCTAATTATTTAATTATCATGTACCTTTTATTACCCATAATAAAGTTTAAAAAAAAAGAGTGGAATAAAAAGACTAGTTAAGAAAGCTYAGCCCCCAAACACAACAAAAATAAAAATAAAAACTATTAAAATATGCAGCTTTGCATTTCAGCTAACTGTTCTTTTTTTTGACCATTTCTCATCCTCGGACATTATCAGTCGATATCCCACGCCCAGGGGTTTCTGTTTGAATTACAAACATAAACCCATATGTATGTTTGAGCATGTACGGCAGAGCATAAAAATGGTATTTGACTAAAAATTCTCATACTCATTAATAATTCATGAGTAAACCAGCCAATCAATGGGCTATTTTTGGGTCACATGATGTTACTTGAAACCTGGTAAAGTGCTGTGAAAGGAATGCATTCAGTCTGGAGTAACTGGAACAAAATTAATTCAGTCCTAGGACTGAATTAATTTTGTTCCAGTTACTCTAAGTCGAATAATTAATGAGATGAGAAGTCATTTCAAAGCCTCCAATATCGGACTGGACGGGATTTCAAGTCCGCGCAATTAGTTTCAGTTGGAACTAATTGCTTTGACTTGAAATCCCGTCCAGTCCTCATTGCCCGGCTTTGAAATATTACTACAAGCACCAGCTAATCCATGACTGAAGACTCTTACATGCCTTAAAGTGCATATGAATCCTTCGACATACATAGTAAATAGTTGATTGGTAGAATATTTCTTGATTTGAGTGATGCGCTTCTAAGTTATGAAGGTTTATACTTCCAATATGCTAATGATGTGACGTCAATTAAGGCTTAATTAAATATACAAAATCGAACTGGTTCATAGATACAGTATTCAAAAAGCATCATTATTTTACTAATGGTTTACATGAGAGTTATTCAAAATTTTTATTTTCAAAATGGCCAGCATTTAAAATTACTAGTTACAACAAAAACACTCAAATACCTTACCTGACGTCATCATCATTAACATATTGGAAGTGTAAACCTTCATAAATTAGAGGCGCATCACTCAAATCAAGAAATATTTTACCAATCAACTATTTACTTTATGCAGAACCAGTACTGAATGTATTGTCAAAGGGTTCATTTGCACTTTAAATAGCTGCCGAATATTGACTTTTTCCCTTTGAAAGCATAGAAAGAACAGAAGGGACTGGAAAATGTAGTCGAGAGACAAATAATGCCTTCTGATACTCTAATACAGTCTAACAATATTGAGCACAAGCTGAAATGCCCTTGGCAATACAGATATTTCAAATAAAATGGTTGGTAAAGGTTCTGTTGCATCTTGCTTGTTGCTTACTAACCTTGAAATGCTGCAATACATTCATATGTAAATCTGATAGTTTCAGCACTAAAGAAAACATACCAAGAAAAACGTGCCGACAAGGTTTAGGAACTTTTCATATCGTAGTGATCTTTCGATGATGGTATTCACATGGTGCAATTAGGGCTTGGTATGCAAAATGGAAGACAACCCTAACCAACCTTCTTTAAATAGCTGTATATTTTTGCGTATGTCAAATTTGACACTTAAGTTATTTCAGTGCTTCGACCCAGTTAGACACTAACGTTAGAGCAGTTTTCGTATGACCGTGAAAAGTTCACGGCACGAACACGGTCGTGACACAGCAAGGAATACGCCAGACCAATCACATCGCACGAAAATTTAGTCTCCATCAAGCCAAATACCCGGAACACGGTATAAACACGGCGCGGACACAGTCACGCCAAGGGCACGTCAATGCAAGACCAATCATATTGCGCGTAAAAAAAATCAGCCAATTAATATTCTAGAAAGCATCACGGTCACGGCACGTCACGCTTACGGCACTGAACTTTCACTTTTCACAGCCATACGAAAACTGCACTACGGTAGCTTACTGAGCACGTAAGCTGACAATCATCTGCAAATTCTTTTCGATTTTTTTAGCTCACATTGGCAGGTTTGGAAACTTATCAAAACCTGCATATGCTCTTCAATAGTAACTGCGAGTAGTACGGAGTAAAGGACTACAGGTTGAATATTATCCGCTAACGCGGCCTGAAACGCCATTGTATCATGTGAACCTCGTCTGTTCGCAAATGTGATTGAATTTACTGCAAAATAATGATAGAACATTTGGTTATTTCTTACTAAAACATTAATGTATGACAATAACAAGTACTGCTACGTACTGGGCATGGTGCAAGCTTGTTTTTTGAGTACGACAATTCCGTCCCCAATAGCAATCTGTTCGGTTTGTCACTGACTCTGAAAATAAGAAAAAATAGGAAGTGAATCGATTTCTAAAAACCCTACCAATATACTGCAATAAAATATTTTAAGCAGAAAAAAGCTTGAATGCATTTCAGTCATTTCCCAATCGACAACGAGTTGTCTACGGTTTTTCCTCACAACGTTCGCACGCAAAATGCTAACAACAAGTGTTAGCTGCTACTCACAGTCGTAATCAAATTGTACGGTCGATTTACGCAGAGCAATTCAAATCGTCAGCATGCCGCGCGCGACAGTTGTGAGGAAAAATCGTACCGTGTAAATCGGCCTTTATACTGACAAAATTATTTCACGGCCTTTTCTCCGTAACATGGTCTTTAGGTTTACTCACTAGAACTTTAAGTTATAGGGCAGTTCAGTGTTTAGTAAATAAAGGTAAAGTAATTTATCCTACTTCGTAAACACGGGAAGTGGTTGTCCAATTCTCCCGCGCAAGGGGCTCTGTATAGCAAGCCCTCGAAGGTGCACCCTTTAAGAGTGGTTTTTATAAACCCGTGAAAACATTTTAGCATATTTAGTAGCCTGCAAAGCAGGCGTTCTCGTGGGTTTGGGGAAAACCGGGGTTTTGGAGGAAAAAAAACATCAAAAGAACGCCTGCTCTGCAGGCTACATATTTAGTACTATCTAACTCTAATTCTTTTGTTTTCTATTGTGTTTCTATGACTATTACACATTAATTAGTGAATGGAGAATTGAGGTGGCTGACCTGGTAAATCTTGCCGGGGGATATCTCGACGGTATTGATATGCCAATTCCTGTAAATTCCGGAATCCACATTTCTGACACACAGCAGTTGTGGACGTGATGTCACACGAATCTGTACACAAGAGACAAAAACAGAGGCGTTAAAAATCCCTTGTGACTGGTTTGGACTAGTAAAAAAACAACAGTGATAATGCCAATTATATGACAATTTATTTTAAAATCTATTCATTTACTGCAATCCTATACTTTGCGAGTGCACCCGACTGCCTATATCTTTGTCAAACTTAAGTCACTAGACAAGTCTAGTAGCTTACCTTTAGGTCGATAATCTTTAGAGTCCAGCTTTTCGAGACATCTCCGCATCAGCTCGTCAAAGGAAATGCACTTATCCAACATGTATTCCTGAAACAACGAATACATTGAATATAAAATTGATTCGTCTTTGGAGAAATGAGTGCAAAAAATACTGAATCAATCAGTAATATAAAATATAGAAAAAATTGAAAAATAAATAAAAAACAACGAACGCAAAGTCTGAAAAAAAAACAACAATATGTTGAAGGTTGCGGGCAGCTATACATTTTTACTAGTACTTAGGATACATTATTAGCATAGGTAGATCGGATAGGTAGGCAGATATTAGTATAAGTAGATAGCATATATAATTATATGTTATTACAATATAGATATATAGTTTTATATTCCTTATTTTTATTTTTTGCTTAAATTTTAGCACGGCACGCCTGAAAAGCAGCGTACTGAGTCGTTAACCGTGGGTAAATAAAGTTAATTCATTCATTCATAAGAGAGGTAACCAGGAGTTTGCCTTGAGAGGTGGAATGGTGAGGGACCCCTTTCCAGAACATCGGAACTTAAGTCGAGCTTATCACGTGACTACGTATATAATTTGGTTTCGACATCGTGATGATGTTGGGGTGGGGGGCATTGCACCTACTTCCCACCTCCCCCCCTTGCCGGGCTACGCCCCTGGCTCTTTGTGTGCTATTCCTTGATTAGCAATGACGACTTTTTTTCTCATGAAAAAGAAAGGTACTAAAAACGGTCGCCAAGTAAAACCAAGATGACGGCCATGTACCCCCGGGGCTGCCCTACGTTCAATAGGCTCCCTCGCTCCACTCTTTCTCTGTCACGATATGACACAGAAGCACTGGAGCGAGAGATCCGCTGGAACCCAGGGTAATGCATCCAAAGAATAGCTGTAAATCAGCACGTCATCTGTTAGTTTGGCCTAGTGTACTTTACGGCAGTACTTAAAATATAAGAAACACGAAGACATACAAGAGCTACAGTTTTTTCACAATACATAAAAAACAGTTTTTTTATAATATATAAAGAAATCAAAATGCAACTTCCTCTTCTTACCTTTAGAACAGTAGATTCATACGTATTATTGTCAATCAAATTATCCGAAAAATGATTTCCTTGAAACACCATATCTAAGAAACAACAACAATGATGAGGACGATGACGATGATGACAACGCTACGACGACGATGGTGATGAAATGACAAAAGCTTTCGTCGATTCCTTAAATTCCACCGAGAAAGTGGAATCAATAAACATAAATAAATACACCTTTTTATTTATTTTTTGTTGTAAAAATTCACGGCTACTTTTTACAGACCCGCGTTTGAGAACGAAGGAATCACATATTCAGTTAAGATGACTGGCTACTTTTGGGGGGGRAAAAAAATAATTTTTTTTTTTTAACTACGATTTTCTAGAGTGAAATTTAATGCTGATTCCAAATATGAAAAGAACAAGGGGGTGCCCTGAGCTTGTTTCGAGTTAATCGGCACTTAATAGATGCCTACGCGCGAGGTTTTGAAGCAAAAATTTCGCCACTGAAAATTATAAGAAAAAAATTAAAACTCACAAGAAAAGAGCTCTTTACAGACTCTATAATTGCACAAACGACGGCAAGTGAATCATTCTACAATAATACAAGGATATTATTGACAAAAAGACAAATAAATGCATTGATTTGTCATATTTYGTCGTTTCAGTGCCCTCAAAAAATCTCATAAAATCGAACAAAAATTCCTCCAAAAAATCTAGATTTTGGTATGTTCGAAAATTTAACTTTTCCAAAGAATTTGATATAACGTAAATTTTTTTGTGCACGATTTGAGGGTTTTGCACTCTTGAAGTTCAAAACGTGTATGGTTCTTCAATAAAATCGTGAAGGTTATTCAGCGGTTTTTGAGCGCGCGCTCATCGTAGGCTCAAATCGAACGTTCAAAAGTAGGCAGTCACCTTAACACAAAATATTCTCTTTACTCAAACAAAATGGTTGTCCACAGCATAGCGAAGACTAGTACAAGCACGCATCTTAACACATACCAAAACTAAAATGCATTACTCCTTTTTCTGCATGTAATAGCCAATGTGCACGAGCACGAATCTCTAGCACAAAGCATGATGGGAAGCCGAGTACTATACAAGTCAGAACAAGGAAATCGATAGCATTATCAGAAAACAAAATATCCGTTATTTTCTTCTGTTGAAATACTTACAGTTTCAAAGAGAATATCAAAGGACAAATTGTCAGAGGGATTGTTAGGGGAGCCGAAAAAGCTTAAGTACTAGGTTTTCCCATCATGCATTGTCCTAGACATTCGTGAACGTCGTGCACATTGCCTATTGTGATATTAAAACTATAGGATAGCAGCTAAGATAAATGCACCTGTAGCAGTGAACTCTACTCACCTTTGAATTTATTCAAGCAGCCGTGACACCTACCAGCACATCCCCAGTACAAGTTACAAAAGGCGCGATTACAGATAGAACCTGCGAGGGAGACATATTTGAAGCATTTGAGTGGAAACTATATATCCATGAAATAGTACTAACTAATTAGTACAAAATAGCACCAACGAAACRAATGAAAACAAAACAAATAGATGTGTTTAGTGCTAATTAGTTTTTGTGCTATTTAATGGATGTATGGCTTGCACACTACTGTTAAAGCCAATATAGTTTTATTTCCATTCATTTCATTCTCATTTATATGGTTTCTTTCCCTTATTTTTAATGCATTTTTTTCGGGAGGGAGTAGGAGCTGGATTTTTAGCCGGCTTTTATCATGCCCTTTTTATAAAACAAGATATTGATCTTCAAAAGCTATACATGGTCATATAACCAAGTATAGTTAGTGACCTTCTAAGATTGCTTATTTATTGTATATCAAACGTAGTATTTACTTACAAGTCTGAGGAGAGTCGTTATCAGTACTGTTTTTTCTATCAGGCATGTACTCCATACAACACAGACACAGGATGTGTGATCCACTTGGTGAACAGACATAAGGCGGATCTGTGATGCCAGACGCATTTTGATTTGAGTTGTTGGCAATGCTACTACTCGCTGTGGTAATACTGGCATTGGTAGTACCACTGACACTGGCTAAAGACACGTTGAAATAGAAAAGTATGAGTTGAAAAAAGCTAGGTATGTGACGTCCACTGAGTGTGGCAAAGGAAACAAGAAAAGGAAAAAAAGGGAAGGAGTTGAAGTGGGTTGTAAGATGGAGGGACAAATTTTCTCGATCTCTTAAAGCATATATATATACTTAAAGCACGATTTCTTAAGATACCGGACTGGAGAAGAATAAAGAAATGATACTCAAGAGAATGGCGTTCTGGAATGGTGACAACAAGTTAGGTCTATTCCAGCCCAATGCTGGTTTTTTATTATTGCTGTTAGGTCACAAACCTGTAGATGTGGATGTTGTAGGCGGGTTAGAGGATGGCTGAGTAGATGGACACTGCCGACACACTTGTAATGTACTTCTGCTAAAGGAAGTCAGGAAATGATACAGTACCGACTAGAACAGCCTCCTTTACCTTCTCCGTGTTTGAGATAAGGGAAGAGATTAAGGAGACTCTGCTGACAGGTAAAGGTTTAACTTCAAGAAATCTAGAACAATCCTAATAATCAGTATAAATGCCTGCTTTTTAGGTGTGTCTAAGCATTCGTCCAAAACAGAGTAATGGGTGTCCCACCTTAATGCTAATTACATGCATAGTAAATTTGAGAGGGCCAATTTGGCCCCAGAGAAAAATTTTGGCTTTTTCAAAGTAGAGCTATTTAAGCCCAGGCTAGGGCCAAAATAGAACAATGCCATTTTGGCCACACAGAAGCCATTTTGGTGTGGGTCTATCAGTGCTGTTTTGGCCCCCTCAACTAGGCTAAATAAGGGGGAAAAGGGGCTAAAACAGTCCCAAAATCAGAGCTAAAAAATGGCCCCTACCGGTAGTGCCAAAATAGCCCTACTTTAAGGAGGCCACTATAGGGTCAAAAACCGCCCTATCCGATTTACTGTGTAGAAGTGTAGAATGATACTAGACTACAGTATTTACCTTGGAGGTCCACGTGGCGCAAAACCGAAAAGACCGGCAATGGAAGCAACAGCAGAACCATGGTGACCAAACAGCCTGCAGACCGATAAAATATACTGAGTTCATCTAATTGCCCTATTTCATCACAGATCACAACTCGATTGCAACGGGGAAGTTGGGGGGTTGCAAAATAGGGGGTGGGGTCGGGGGACGGGCTTGCAGGATGATAAAAACAAATAAGAACTTGGACAAATTACTCTGAAGCTGAATCCATAGCTCTGTGTCATACAACATTCATTAAGTTTGTCTATTTTCGACGTCTCGGCCTAATGTATCTTTGTAGGGTTACTTAAGTCAAGGTCTTCTTTCTAGTGCTGCATGGCATAGGTTTTTGATAATTAAAATTTGCGGTCGCCATTTTGGCAAAGAGACATTTCATACTACGTTTACTCATTTTCATAACTTGGCGATAATACCGCCAAAAGACAGCAACAACAATAACCGCCGTGGGAAATTAAACTAGGGTTTTCCCTATGTTTTCAGTTCTCGTCGAAGTTTTACGTGTAAACCTAATTRCATACTTTCATTATAAAATGCAAAATTGTATAACCAAAACGAAGTAATAAGAGGTAAGAGTAGGAAGGGATGCAAGCAAAGTGCACCTCCCCCAACACATCAATACCCCCCACCCCCCTCTACTATACCGACCGGTACCATCACTAAAACATCAGTACCCCCACCACCAACCCCCCCCCCCCCCCCCCCCTAACGACCGGCACCATCCCAAACACACCAGCACTCAACTCCCCCTACTACTACCAACCGGTACTGTCCAAGATTCCCAAGGTAAGCTTGACTGTATACGATTTTGGTAATTTGGTAAAAATGATGGATATGCATTACACGCCAGCTATGGTATTAAAAGGTACTCCATCCCCCCGAAGCACACACCTGTCATAGGTATCGTCGTCATCGCCATCATCATCATCGTCGTCGTCGTCATAGGGCATACTATATTCACTAAAATCACTACCTTCTTCTGAAAACTCTTCGTCTTCTTCATCGTCACTTTCGTCGTCAAAGGCGACAAGTCCACCAAATATGGGCATGCCCAGCCCGTGTCTTCGACGAGGGGGCCTTAACTGTCAATCAATKCAATTAAAAACCTTATGACCTAATTCTCTGTGTAAATTTAACATTAAAAGTGCTCTATAAGAATTGTTTTATTGGTCTTTTCTGAGATTACGAACATAATGCATTGTGGTCTAGCTTTAGTAAAAACATATTTTGCTGACCATGCCTTATTGGTGTCGTTTGTAACGACGGAAGCCAGACCAGAATGATGCGGTTTGCAATGTCGAACTCAAAAAGGTATACACTTATTTGAATAAAGTTAGTCACAAAAACCTAGAAAGCTGAGATCACTGAGGATCCTGGGAAACTTTTCATATCAAACAAGTAAAAAATTTTGGTACAGACCGCAGCTTGAGAATGCTTAGAAGAGGCGAAACTGTAACTAGTAAAATATATGCAAGTACAAAAGCAGTTATCAAGCGGCTGAAACTTGTAAAATGTATCTATCCATAATCCTTGTCGGTATCACCTTTGTAGCATTTCAGGGCCCGGTTGTACAAAGCCTGGATAGCGCTATCCGATGGATAAATCTTATCCAGTGAATAATTTTATTGGAAAACAGCATCAACTTATCCACTGGATAAGGATTTATCCACCGGATAGCGCTATCCAGGCTTCGTGCAATCGGGCCCTGGTGACTAACTTTATTGACGCTAAGTATATAGCGGAGAGGGCTATTATTGTTTCTTCTCGTAGGAATCGAAAGACTGACAAAAATCAGCAATTTTTATCAGCCTTATCTGAAAACGTCGTCATATTCTTACCATGTCAGATGTTATCTTGTTTTTTGAATCCATTTCATCGATATCCTCTTTTGAACGTCGTTTTTCTTCAAAAGTAAGATACAAGTATATAATATATAATAAACGCAATGTGTAGCGTTAAAGATTCGCATTCTACCACTGTGGGTTCTATGGGTCGAGATTCAAACGAACGCCACATGAGATGTGAAAAGAGTTTGTTTGACTGATGTGTTTTTTTTCCCCTTGCCACAAGGTTTTTTCTCAGGGAACTATGGTTTAACTTCCCTCCGTAAAAAAATGAAGTAAAATAGATATAAATGCGGGGAATTAACGGTGGAATTTCAGAGTAGCTCTCCGCTGAATTCCAATTGGAATTTAGAAGCAAGTTGGGATAGTCCCTTTTCTTATTGGACAAATACCGCTGTACAAGTTTAGGCTCGTTTAAGAGCAAATCTTTTGCAAAAGTCAACTGTAATAAGAACGTGCAAGTTCAGTTGAACAATAACACTGTTTTGAAATCCTACGAAATTTTAATGGTATCTATGAATAGCTGACTTAAAACGAGGCTCAGCCTGTCCAAATGAGTCTGTGGTCTGTGTAATTATTTAAATTGACTGTTACATGCTTAGAATATCGAATGTAATGCTATAGTGTGTGTAAATGTAAGTGAAAGTGGGCCAACTGAAAGCTAGGTAGAATATTCAATAATATTAGCGCTCGCCTCTCACCAATGGGACCAGGTTTCGAGTCCCGCTGAGCTCGGAGTCGTATGTGAGTAGAGTTGTTTGTTGGTTCTCTACTGTGCTTCGAGGGTTTTCCGGGTTCTCCGGCTATCCTCCCTCCGTAAAAATCAACTTCTAAGTTCTAATTGAAATCCAGTGAAGAAGAGCCACTCTGTGGAATCCACTGTTTAAAATCCATTATTTTATTCATATAGATCTCACGGTGTCACCCGCTTAAAAAAAGAGTATGGAAGCACAAGAGGGATAAATGAGAAAATGATGTAGGTATATGTCGGCATGCAAAAACAAGATATGAGCTTTGGGCCCGGCGTTGCTGTGTGTATAGTATATGTACTATGAGCAACAGCTGCATGATGCCGATCGGATCTATTTACCTGGATGATCCTTTAAGAACGCTTCCACTAAATTATTAACCAAGTGATTTCTGCTGATCCTCTTGACTTTCACACGACACTGAAAGATTACGAAAATAATAATCAAGTTTTGCGTAAACATGAAAATCCTGCGTGCGCAGCGGGCCAAAGGTGTGGGGGTGGGAGTTGGAGTTCGTAGTGAACGTAGTGGGGGTGGAAAACGATTGGGAATGCTATGAAAATCATTTGCAGTATTTGAGTTCTAATTAAACCTGATTGGTAAGTCATAAATTAAAATAAGTATTAACAGTTGATTTCATTAAACTTTAGACACTCCGATTCCGAAGTTTTTTTTCGAAAGTTAGTCACAACTTGGAACGAACTACGGGGCTCCAAAGTGAAATTGTTTAGCGTTATTTAAAACTGATAATATCTTCATCCAATTAATGGAATGTTTAAGTACAGAGGCCACAGCTACGGACTTCTCATGCGCAAATGTGCGCAATGATCTAGTTGTAAGTCGCCTTGACTCTGAACGTCCAAACACATTTTTATCACAAGAAAATGAATAGACCTTGGGGGTAATGTTTCAGACCACCTGTCATTCTATAGAAAATACGATTCGTAGTTTAATACATCTATATTTGTGTGTCTTCTCGTGCGCAACTGTTAAACAAAGAAATGGTACTCTAGCGAAGGACACGTCGTATGAAATGTGGGAAAATGCGCCCGGGGTAGAGGTAGTAGTTAAGACTTACACTAGGACATCTAGTAGAACGATCCATCCATTGGGAATAACAAGAGGCACAGTAACTGTGCATACAGGGCTGTAAACTACAACAATACAAACAAATCTAATTAAATGGCACATCATATAGTGATCAATAAAGCATGCAAATATAAATAAAGCAATCTCCTTTCTTATTCAATATACACTTCTCATTAAATATACACTTTCACGGGAAAAGTATATTTTTAATAAATAATTTTTAATTAATGAATATTTATAATTATTCTTAATAAAATGTATATATACATTTATATTTATTTCATTCATTATTAAAATAAGAAATATGATATAAGAAAACCTCTATTAGTCAGGCATCGGGCAAGACGATGTCCGCTTGAGAGGTACCGCTGTACTGTATATACTGAGTGCTCAATTGCCTGAGAACAAGTCCCATACTACAAGTACAATTTTGGATGCAGAATGATCCACTCTTCAGTAGTCCAGATCAGTTTACAAGCCAATAAGATAAAAAGATTGCTTAAACTGTATTGTAAAAGCTTATCATAATTATGGTCTACCTGATGCAGTCATGGAAAATATCCTGAAATTGAGAAAAGAAATGAGTGAGAGCCGTATGTTATTCACATCTAAGGGTACTAAGTGTCCAATGTGGATATTCTCTTGTGCATCATCATCATACATGTAATACTGTATTTGTCATCCTTAGTAATCACATTGGCGGATCCAGGATTTCGTTCAGGGAAGGGTGCTGCGTATAATGTTAACCCAGGGAGGGGTGCACCTCTTAGAATCAAAGGCAAAAAACAAAATTTGTTATCTTCGAAGTAGGAGCACAAAGTGTAACCAGGGAGGGGTGCGCACCCCCTGCACCTCTCTGGATCCACCCCTGAATCACCATCACTAGCACCATCGCCATCACTGTCTTCCGCCCCATTTTTATGACACCATCACATCAGTATTACATCATTATCATGAAAAAAAATTCGGTATGTTATAGTTTATCACAATTTTAGACTCGAATTTTAATAAGAGTTTCGCATGCTGTGATTGGTTGTATGAGCAAACCGTGATTCTGAGACAATATTTACTGCTTTAGTAGTGATAATGAGTTTTCCTACAGCTTGTCACTGTAATTAATACTAGGTTTATAATCCTGGATTTGGTGTTTTCTCTGATATTCAAGTAAAAAATTATTCTTAAACAATTATTCACCTCYAGCTCAGCTCATTTTGTCTTTGTGAAGTGAATATCATTACATTATATCATGAAACACACAGGGATATCTCATTCATCATTCTAGACCAACTTCATTGTCATCCTCATCATTTGCAGCCTCAACAAACATCATCATGATTATCATTGTCATCATTGAAATAAAATCAGACATCAATTATATAATTCATTGTCTTAAATTGGACACTAACAAAAAAATTAAAAAATGTATCCCAAGTTACAGGGGGGTGGGGGGGGGGGGCTTGATTCATTACCATCATCCTCATCATCTTTATAACAATGATGAACATAAAAAAATATGGCATCCCACATTGAAGTACCTGACAAATAGAGCAGATCAGGTTTTCTGCAATAGAGCTCTTAGAATTCTTAAGCATTTTTTTATCACTTTCTTCCTCTTCATTTTCTTTCTCCACATGTTGTTTCTTGGGGGCAGGACTATCTGACTCACTGGTGCTTTCAATCTAAAGAAATATTGTATTAATTACACAGTAATAAATTATAGTAAAAAAATAATAGACTGATGAGACAGACTTCTTGGTGTCATTGATGCATTAATTCAAACATAGTTCAGTAATAAAATGATACAGTCATAATGCAAATAAATTATTTACAATAATATCTAAAACACAGCCCTGATCACAACCATGATCATTGGTTAGTCAAAACATTTTACCAAAACATAAGGTACAGTGTATTCTTACTATTTACCTTATGATGGGGTCGTTTACCAGTGTTTTCTATATTTCCTTCTCCAYGTATGGATTTTTTCTTGTCCTTCAAGGATGCATCTGAATCTGACAAGATAATTACTATTTAAAATTGCATAGAGTAAGTTTGTTACCTTACTGACTGATCACCAAAGTGACGTACTGGCCAAGCCACAGGCTAGCTGAGTGACTACAGTAACTGAATGTCTGACCAATAAATTAGTCAGTCAGTCGGCCAGTTAGTAAGTCAGTCAGTCAAATTAACTGACTGACTGTCTATCTGTTTGTCCTACTCCCTGTCTGACGGACTGCATGACTGCTTGATGGATGACTGACTGATGAATCAGACTGATATATGTGTAGACAGCTGTCTGACTAAATGATCAACTGTCTTAAGGATTGATTGCTGAAAAAAGACTGACTAATTAGAGACCTTTTGCAGATCATGTTATTACCAGGAGCTGCAGACCTTATTTAACTGCGTTTTGACATCCTGCAATTCCCATCAAGCTTCAGACATTTATCATAGCATGGCAACATAACGAAGTTGTTGTTAAAAGCTGCCATATGGAATTTYAATGTTATATGCTGATTGATGCTCAGCATGTTTTTATGATAATTTAAAACTAATTTTCAAAAAAAAATTCATAAAAATGAAAGAGCAAGGATCATTCTGAACACCAGTAACATGTACAGTATAACATGTGAGATGGCAATATTCAGGCAAAGAACAGGCTGAAGTAAATGACTTATGTTAAAACCTACCTTCTGCCATCGATAAGGTCAATAATTCTGGCTAAAAGTGACTCCAGGGCTGGTCACATGTTCCACAGCAGTTATCAGTTCCTGGGAAACCTGGTGCTAAACTGGCTGGTTGACTCAGACTGATCATCTGGCTGGCTGATTGATAGCTTACAAATGACTGACTGACTGACTGATAGACTGACTGACTCATTGACAGACAGACTGGCCGACTGATTGTCCTTACTGACTAACATATACAGTACAGTAGCTGCATATTAAGTGCAATGTCTTGAACTTGTTCTAGCATTTCAGAGAATTAATGGCATACTAACCTGAATCAAGACTATATTCTTGGATGTTTTCTAATTTTTCTTCTCCTGTATTAGTTTGTAAGTCATGAAACACAAAACCAATATCTGAAATACAGCACAAGTATCCTTTCTATTAACTTGGTGTTTCCATTTCAGTATTTTCCTCCAATTTAATATTTACAGTAATTCCTCCCATCACACTTACTGCCTCATCCATCACTCTTTGTGGGTGACAAAAAAATTTAAGAAACTTTGACTTGTTTTATTTTCATAGCTTGTTCGAATAATGTATACAAGTTTCACTGGTCAATAAAATAGCATACCCAGTTCTTTTYGATGAACAAGTTTAATTTCATCATTATTGCAAAGCTTGATGGCCTAAAAAATAATTAATGACATATTTAAATGACCTCCCGTACAACAGACCAATGCTCTTACCAACTGAGTTACCGGGTGGCAGTATAATCAAATTTCCATTCATATTTAATAATTTTCATCACTGACATTAAACTGATGCAAAATCACTGTCAAGATTATCATACATACATACAGTAGGGCTCCATTTTGTAACAGAAAGGTAATTTCAGGCAAAACATGTATTTTAATTTTTACCCAAATTGCCTTGTTAATAACTTTAATAATATAATAACTTGAATATTTATAAACTGCATCCATACATATGCTCACATGCACACATGCTCACAATTCATCATGGCTGCTCGTGATATACTATTGAATGTGATAATCATGTATTTTTTGTCACATCTTGGAATCTATACTGTACCTGCCCTGCCTTGACTTTATTACCATTGATTAGTGTCCCATTTGTACTATTAAACAAAGAAAAGATGGTGATCACTGTAACACAATCCAACACATTTTGGGCTAGTGCTCAAAAGGTGAATTTAAACATTACAAACCATTTAAAATCCATTAATTATCCTTGATTGGAACACAATGTCAGTAAGGAGAATTCATATTTCAAGGTCAACAACTTGAGTAACAGAGAAATTCAAGTGGAGTAAATGTTTGTAGAGTACATGTAAGTTGATATTTAGCACTTGATCTAACAGTGTATGTAATTTATGTATGGGATTTAATATTAAAATACAATAAAGTCATACATGTAGATAGTACTCACACTCTGATTGGTTGATCAGAGCTGAGCATATGTATACACATATTAGTGAATATAACACAGTTACTTGGAGTATGGCAAAAAAAAAACACAACCAGCATTTACAAAGTGTAAGTAAAAATTAAAAATTGCATTGAATGTTAGGAAGCCCCAAAAGCTAGCACTCAGTAAGAAGCGTGGGAAGCACAAGTCTATACTTGTGCTTCTCTTCACATTTCCTTTATGCTCCCATCCTTTCTGCTGTATTCATGGGCTTGGTTTTGCAAGGGAGATACTTTTATTGAATAACAGCATCCACTTATCCACTGGATAAGGATTTATCCATAGGATAGCGCTATCTACCCTTCGTACAATCGTGCCTGCCCATAACAGAGCATGAATGGAAGTATCTTTGGTTGATGAATTATAAAATTTACCTCGTATCATGTAACCATGCTTTTCCCTCACTGTCTTTCATGATAAAACAATGATTTCCTGACAAGAACTTACACCCAACAAAACTCATGTCACATGCTAAAATAGTAAAAAGATGTATAAAATACATGTCATAAATCTCCTTTTCAGATTACTGTAACTATTAGGGAGGGTATGGTTTATGGGAGCACAAACAGAGACTCACATTTACTACAGCAGTATCAGTTCCATCATAATTTGTATTTCTTAAAAGAAAAAAATATTTGCTTACAGTACTATGTGAAGATAATATTTAATTATTAAGACCCTAAGTGTTCTTCCAACCGATGTGGCCAGACTATATATTAAGAGAGCAGTTACAGTATATTACCAAATTAATTTCATTTCTTGGTCCTTTGTTTGTTTGTGTTGATGTTTTTTTTGTTTTTTTTTTTTTTTTTTTTTTTTGTTTTTGTTTGTTTGTTTGTTTGTTGTTGTTTTTTTGACATAAGTCTAAAAAGATTGCCAATAAAACAGTAATCTTTACTTTAAAAAACCACACAGGACAACACGCAGCTTCCATTAAGCCATTTAAACAAGAGATTTTCAATTTGTGATATAATATATACGGTTTAGAATGATTATGCTATGATAGTACACGTATAAACAAGAGTACAGCTGTAATCTTTTTGCAATATTCAGCATTTCTTGTCCATAAAGAATGCAAAACCAAAACTAACATTTAAATACATACTGAATAATGATTTCTACTCGCAAACCATTTAAGTCCGGTTCTAACAAACTTAATGCTTTACAAATTCGGAGTTTGAAGAGTTTAATAAAGACTTTCAAGCCGTTATTTTCGAACAAGTTAAGCACGATCTTTATCAAAAATTACCTGGAGACCTGCCAAAAGAGAAGGTTTCTTTAGTAACAGCAATCGGTGGTCTACATTCATGGGTACAAACCAGTTGACACCAAGAATTTCGTGAGCCTTGCTGATTATCACCTTGTTCACGAACGGCAGCCATTACGTTTGTTTTGAGCAACGGAAGACAGAGACTGGGAAACAGATTCAATGACTACCACAGGAAGCCCAATTTAAAGCCGAAACGGTCAGTGAGGAGGAGATATTAGGCCCGTTTACACAGGCGATTTGCACAAGGAAGCACGTTAGAATTTTGATTGTGTTGATTTATCTTCGATTTTTATAGCGTACGTAATCTAAGATATGAAAGGCGTTCCTCGTAGTGCTTATTTACGTGCGCGCTCTACACCAGTCGGGCTAGCGAATTTACTCCGAAAACCGACGAATATCTTGCGAGGAGCTTAGCGACGTGTAAAAAAGGACTCCTATTACGCTCGTCATTCCCTTCCTTACGCGATTGTAAGCCATTCGGATCGGTCGAAACCAAAACACTACGAGGAACGCCTGTCACAAGATGGATTGCGCACGCTAGATGAATCAACAACGAACAATAACTTTCTTTACACACAGGCTAACCACTCTAATAAATGAAGGAAATACTAAATGGTGTCTTGTCTTTGTCTTTTTATGCGCGCGCTATCGATTTTTTGTCATCTCACCTACCCCCCTTGGTAACAATTTTGTTTTTCTACTCACAGGTAGCCCAAGCTTGGTTTCTGTGGTGTCCTGTTATAAGGAAATGTATGGGGAATCATCAAACATTTCAATAAAATCATCAAAACGTGAAATAAAGCCTCGAAATTTTACCCTATCATTGAGAAATAGCACTTCTTTCCCTCTGCGTGGTTATTTTTTGAATTTAGCCCGTTTTAAGGATTTTTTCCCCCACCAGTAAGAAATAAGAGAAGGTTGGAAACTCGGGATCCAAAAGCGAGCCATCACGAGTCTTTGAAACCTCGTACGTCTTCGAATTTTCTTTCCAGCGCCAAATTTTAGTCATGACCCTTCTCTCACATCGCTATAGAACCGAGAAAGTCGCATTAGAGATTAGTCTTCGCGTCTTTAAGCCATGAAATTTGCCTGTATTCACATACTACCTCGCTTGTTCTGACCC